AAATTTCTTAGGTCCACTTAGGACTCAAAGATGCTTTACCTGTATTTTTCAGCATAGACTCTATTTACAACTCTATAGATTCCAGTTAAAAGCTATTCAAAATTCAAAATTCATCTTTAATTTTTCTGGGAAGGGGAAATGCTTGGGCTTTTTTACACCTGTTCCCAGTAATGACCTCTGTGCTTTAAAACAAATGGAATAATTTTCAGGGTTTAATGGGCTTTTGCCTTCAACAGCTACAAATAATCTAATTATCTAGCCACTCTGGGTACTGGATGATTTAAGAATTAAAGACACGATTAGAATCTGTTACAGTAATTGGAATCCATTTTAAACCAATTGCCTGTGGCATTACATGGTCTAGTGGAAGAAAGGCTGCTGGCTAAATCCTCTTCTTCCACTAAAGCAACTTGCAACCAAATGTTAGTACAATTTTATTTTTTTTAACTAAGAAAATGAAGATTTCAGAAGTCAAGTAAATCAAATTATCTGTACTTTTTTATGCTGGTTTTAAATATTTTATATATCACTGAAGCCAATGGAAGGAAGACCACTGATTGACTAGTCTTTGGGTCAAATTCACTGAATAGATTTGTGAATTTAGTGAACAAAAGGAAAATTTCAGATTTAGTGAATGAAAGTGTTATTACTTAGGTAAATTAGAAGTCATCACAAAAGAGGTGTGGGTAGATTGGGAAGCACTAGAAGAACTTCTGCATGCCCCACAAATCAGCTAGAACTATTTGCAGGAGTCAGTGAGCAGGTGGATAAGGGTGATCCAGCTGATGTAATGTTCCTGGATTTCCAGAAAGCTCTGAAAACACTGTTTTGTCAAAGTCTGTTAAAAAAATTAAACTCTAATGGCAGAAGAAGAAAGGTTCTCTTGTAGAAAAAGAGTGGGTTGAAAGACAGAAAACAAGGGGTAGAATTGAATGGTTTGTTTCCACAATGAGGGCAGTAGAAGGTAGCACCCAACAGCCCTCTCTGTTCCTCAGTGCTCTTCAGCCCATCTATGACGTGACCTGTCTGCATGGACGTTGGAACTGGGTAAATGTACTGGTGACACACAGCTGTTGGCTGTAGAGGATTGCAGAAGGTCCTCATAAATCTCAGCTAATGAACACCAAAGTAGCAGACAAAATTCAGTGCTAATAAGCAAAAAGTTGCACATTAGTTCAGGGGAACCCTATCTAAATATGTAAAACTATTTGTTATTACTCAGGAAAAAGAGAAGGGCTGTGAAAATGGTCAGAGGGCTGGGACACCTCTCCTGTGAAGAAAGACTGAAAGAGTTGGCGTTTAATCTGGAGAAGAGAAGACTCCAGGGAGACCTTATTGCAGCCTTTCAGTATATAAAGGGGGATAATAAAAAAGATGGAGAGACACTTTTTGCCAAGGTCTGTAGTGACAGGACCAGGGGCAAGAGATTTAAACTGAGAGAGGGTAGATTTAGGTTGGACATGAGGACAAACATTTTTTATGAAGAGAGTGGTGAGACGCTGGCATAGGTTGCCCAGAGAAGCTGTGGCTGCCCCCTGCCTGGCAGTGTTCAAGGCCAGGCTGGATGGGGCTTTGGGCACCTTGGTCTGGTAGAAGGTGTCCCTGCCCATGGCAGGGGGGTTGGAACTGGGTGATCTTTAAGGTCCCTTTCAACCCAAGCCATTCTGTGATTCTATGATTTTGGAGTCACTGAGCTCAGTGTGCAGGGACGGTCCTAACGCCTGAAAGAGAGGTAGGGCTTATTAAGGTGAGAATTGAGAACAAGGCGAAAAACATTGCTACACCGCACGAATTCATGTTGTGTCCATGTCTTGATTTTGTGGTCTGGCCACCTACGTCTCCAAGAAGCACTAGAAAAGATTCAGAGAGGGTTACAAAGATGGCCTGAGCCTGGGATACTGCCACACAAACAATTTGGGACTCAGCCTGGTAAAACAGTCATTGAAGGAGGCTGTGTGAGAGGATGGACTAAGAATTTTGACAGTGAAGGGGCTATTGAAGGTCTCTGGTCGGCAGGGTCCTCTCTCCTCCCCTGGTAAAACGAGCCTTTGCACAGGGGAACATGACATCTTTCATTTCTTTCTCTTGCTTTTTACCTTCTGTCTCGTCATCATGAAAGTTTGCAGGGCACCAGCTCAGCTGCAAACTGCAGGAGCAAGAGGAAATCAAAGGATATCTAGCTGAGGATGGAGAGCAAAACCTTGAGAAACTCTCACCTCTCTGAATTTGTCAGTGAGATGGCAGCCACACCGCGCACTGTGGAGAGCACACTCTGCCTGACACCGGCTCTGTCTGTGCTAGCTGTAGCTATTTGAAAATGCAGAAAGTTAAATAATTTACAGCCCTGCCACTCTAAGTAGCACTGAGAGCCTGGAGACTGGTAAATGATACATAGAGCACCTCTTTGTTCAGAAACCATATCCTGTTAGTAAATGATAAAGGAAGCACCTCGTTCTTCAGAAACATTTCCTATCTATTCTGAGTTGGATCATGGCAGATCAGGAGAGATAGGGTCAACAACCGACTGACAGCAAGTTACATGAGTGATCTGGGATCTATCAAGGCTCCTTATAATCCTGGCATTGTTCTTTAATCTGTTATTACAGCAACATGCCATGGTGCAAACTCAGTTCAGGCTGGCATGACTAGTTCAGCAGCTTCTTTATCGATTGCTGTGTGTTTGCTTCCCTGTCTGTCCTCTGGAGCACATCATATGTGCCAGAGCTCATTCATGACACAGTTGTCAGGCTGGGAATGGATCTGGTTTCCTTCAGCTCATCTCCCCATGCCCTTTGCTTCCCCAGGACTAGCTAACCAGCTCAGCACCACTTCATTCCTGCATACCTCAGTGTGCTTGCCTGAATTAATTTATATCTGTTTAACCTACTTGCTGTTTTGATGATGTGACGTGTGAATGAGACGGAGAAAAAACCTCTTTTCCTAACATCCAGCGTTCCCTTACATGTGTCCTTATCCATCTTCAGTAAAGCAGAACTCTGTCCTCTTCACTCATGCTACACTTGAGTCCTTTCCAATAGAATAAGGAGTTGTATTTTTCAGTTATATAAATAGGGACCATGTTGCTATCACTTGCTGTAGTAATAACAAATAACATCTGTGGCTTGTCTGACCACGGCTAAAAGAAAATTCTCTAGAGAGGAGAAAGGTGTTTTACTTACAATGGGTAAGTTCTTATCAGTTATTACTGCAAATAATAGTCCTAACTTCTGAAATTAAATACTGAGATATCAAAGAACTAAACCCTCCTGCTACAGGACATAAACCATGTTCTAACTAATAGAGCTTAAATAATCTCTTTCTGGATTCATTTTAATAGTGAGCTATTTCAGACACTCTGGCAGTGAGCCACTGTCTAAGGAAAGATGCTGAACGGCATGGATCATTGGTTTGCCCCTGCAATGGTCATTCTGATCATTCTGCGAAATTATTTGTGTTTAAAAAGGACAGTAATTTCACACACATTAAGTACAGGCACCACACACAAATGCAGACAAACACAGTACGTACAAATTTAAGGAATGCTTGACTTTTTTATGTTACATGGAGAATGCACCAAAAATGCTTGCACTTAACAGTGTCCAAGATTGGAAAAACTGGACAAAGCAAGTCATATGTTTTCTACTAGACTGATAAAAATGTTGCTGTAGAGATATAAGGTATGATTCATCTAATCTAAATGAAGATATCTACATCTGAGTTGCTCTAGTCTTCCTTTATAGTGGAGAGCTAGGTATTTTTAGGGTGGAGATCACCTGGACTGTGCTAGACGTCTACATCTGATCAGCTGAGTGCACCCTGGAGCCATACAAAATATTGTTGAACCTCACCATGTCTTGGAGGGTGCAGAACTGCCCTCCTGTTGAGAGAGGCCTCCCACTATTTCTTGCTGCGCAGCAGAAGATACAGCTATTTTAGGTCATAAAATTCCTAGACTGCATTTTCTCAGACTCTGAGGCAGGATCAAGAAAGAGGTCAGGAGACAATTCAAAGCAGCAGGCAGGCAGCAGTGTTAGACATCATATCTTTTCCTTCCCCTTGGAAGAATGGTAATGGTTTACAGTTACCACTTGCAATAATTTGTATTAGTCAGGGAAGCGGCTAATTACCTTTGATTGCTGGCAACACTCGTCTCTTCCAGGGCAAGAGAGTGACTTTTTTTCTGCTTCTGAATAAATGAGCTGCCGATGCTCAGGGTGTCTACAAAACCAGATGAGCTGAAAGGGACCTGTGCTTTCAACACTTTTGAGAACCACCAGGCATGTGAGGAAATCCCTGGTGGCATCAAACCCTAAGCTCTTTCCACCTCCCTTGCCATAAAATTGCTCTGGATGAAGGGTGCTGCCACCACAGGAATGGAAGAGTGGCAATCCTATGCCTAGTTTCAAGCCTCTGTTTTGCAAGTGCAAAGAGAGACTCATCTAGAGAGTCATTCATGGCACCTATTTTAGGCTGCAACTCTGAACTGTCCTGTGGGGAAACTTCTCTCATTTATGGTGTACACAGAGTATCTATTGCCTCCTAAATAGGATGCAAAAATACCCTAACCGACACACCGAGAAAGGCAGAAAAGATCTGCCCATGAGAAACATCCCTAAGCAATTTACCCTAACAAGAAGTTGGGAACAACTGACTTACATAAAACAGGGAAACCTTTTTTTCAGTTTAGATCATTTTATCTTTTCAGATGTTAAGGTAATGATGGATAATCAATATGGGAAATAAACACATCTTTAAAACATACTTGAACCCAGTAGTCCTATCACTGATGCATATTCTTTGAGTGACAGTGCTGCTCAGTTCACCATTTCCCCTTGTCGTCGTTCATTTCCATTGCATAATTACTACATTACAGCACTTCTTAGACTGTGGCAAGCAAAATATTGCAGGCAGAGAATACAGTTTTAGACTGCAATATATATGTCAAATCCTATCAAAGGCTAGAAATCTGCAATTACATGCTGAAATATTGCCTCACTTACCAACTGATATAGTCCAAACAGCAATTATTTTTGCAAAAGCCTTAGTTCTTGAGTTAAACCGGCTGTGATGGATGGGATTTCGAATGGCGATATAGCGATCTAGTGAGATGGCACAGAGGTGCATGATGGAGGCAGTAGAGAAAAGCACGTCCAAGTAGATCCAAACAGCACAGAGCTTTGTAGGTAGAGGCCATGCGTATCCTGCACAAGAGAAAGTTGACATCAGCTAGGAATCACGGAGTCACAGAATGTTAGGGGTTGGAAGGGACCTCTGGAGATCATCTAGTCCAACCCCCCTGCTAAAGCAGAGTCACCTAGAGCAGTTCACACAGGATGGCGTCCAGGCAGGTTTTGAATACCTCCAGAGAAGGGGACTCCACAGCCTCTCTGAGCAGCCTGTTCCAGTGCTTTGTCACCCTCAGAGTAATTAAATCTTTCCTCATGTTCAGGTGGAACTTCCTGTGCTCCAGTTTGTGTCCGAAACTGAAAAGAGCCTGGCCCCATCTTCATGACACCTGCCCTATCAATAATTTATAAGCGTTGATAAGGTCCCCTCTCAGCCTTCTCTTCTCCAGGCTAAACAGAGCCAGGTCTCTCAGCCTTTCCTCCTAAGAGAGATGCTCCAGTCCCCTCATCATCTTAGTAGCCCTCCGCTGGACTCTCTCCAGTAGTTCCCTGTCCCTCTTGAACTGGGGGGCCCAGAACTGGACACACTACTCCAGAGGTGGCCTCACCAGGGCAGAGTAGAGGGGAAGGAGAACCTCCCTCGACCTGCTGGCCACACTCTTCTTAATGCACCCCAGGATGCCATTGGCCTTCTTGGCCACAAGGGCACATGGCTGGCTTATGGGTAACTTGCTGTCCACCAGGACTCCCACATCCTTCTCCACAGAGCTGCTCTCCAGCAGGTCGACGCCTAACCTGTACTGGTGCGTGGGGTTATTCCTCTCCAGGTACAGGACGCTACACTTGCCCTTATTGAACCTC